GAAGGAAGTCCTTTGGGTCAAGAGGAGTGTTGTATTTCAATCTCTGTGGTTTAATTGACTGAGATGAACCCAGTCGCTCACCTATACTCTACCATTTCCCAGTGGGGTTTTAATATTGTTTCCATTCTGTCCTTCAAACAGCTGTTCTGCCAGATGCATCTCTCAGGACACCTGGCCTTTCTGCTTAGCACTGGTGAAGTTACCTTCGTGTCCTCCCTGGTGAAGAACAGTAAGACCAGCTACCAATACATCTGGATTGGACTCCATGATCCCTCATATGTATGATCCTATCTTTGTCTTGCTTTCCCCCATAGTGCCTTTTATCCCTGTGGGAGAGTCCCTGTGACTTCCCAGAAAAAAAAGGATAGACCTCCAATGCTGGATGGCATTAGAGCAAGGGAAATATCAGTTGAAGAGCTGAGCTCTGTGGAAATCTCAGCGTTTACTTGAAGTCTGTATGCCTGTGGTTGACTTTTTTATGTGTGAGATATTCAAAGATATTTCCATTGATCTCAGGGAGTCTGTACAAACAATTGTCAGGAAATACTGAACAAAGAAACATTCTGTATTTTCTCTTTATAGAATAGATTTTTTTTTTGTTTATTTGTTTCTGAAGAAGCCTCAAAAGTACCCCCACTTGTATTTATCAGGAAAAGATAAATTTTAGTACATCCCAATTTCATTCCATAGTTTTTGTGGTTTGAAAATAGGACAAAGTAATTCTGGAATAATATTCCACCAGAAGGCTCTTGGCAACAGGGTTTGATCATACCAAGTTTGGGAAAGCTAGATATAGAATCGGGTGTTTCAGTAAAGGTAGCATGCGAACAGGGTGCTAGTGAATCTCTGTCACCCACCCCTTCGCACCCTACAGGGCACACTACCCAATGGAAGTGGGTGGACGTGGAGCAGTTCCAACGTGCTGACCTTCTATAATTGGGAAAGAAACCCCTCTGTTGCCGCAGACCATGGTTATTGTGCAGCTTTGTCCCGGAACTCGGGTAAGAACCATTTTCCCACATCCAGGCTGACCATCGTGGCATGACACGGGTTTGAGAGATATAGTGTGGACCTGTGATCTGCCATCTTCTCTCATGGTTCTCTCTGTGTGTCCTCCCCTTGGAAATGCAACAGTGATTAGCACGCTGGAGAGAAGTCTTAAGCCCAGAGTAGAGACTGAGTCATTCTTTCTTTGAATACACAGATTCACCTGCCCCATCCTCTTTACCTCTTGTGTCTCTGTAGGCTTTCAGAAGTGGAGAGATTTTAATTGTGAAACACTACTCCCCTATGTCTGCAAATTCAAGCCCTAGGGCAGTTCTTATTTCAACACCTTGAAAATACTGTGAAGCTCACAAGGACAAGGGAGTGAGTGAGTACGAGGATTCACGCAGAAAGAGCAAGCTCTGCCTACATATCCACCCCAAATCCTTCATACTGTCTCTGCTGTTCTCCCATCAGAACATTCTCTGGGGGCTGTAACCTAAAGGCTCAGAGAACAAAAATAAAACGTCATCAACAATCTGGGCTTTTGTGGTCTGTTTTTGCAGTGAGTGAGGCTGTATGAAGTCATGCGGAGTGTTTATAGAAAGAAATTTTGGAAATCACTGCATCCCAGTTCTAACCATTGTTCCTAAGAAACAGTGGTCTAACTGTATGTCTACTGGTATGCTGTGATGGAAATTTGGACAGGGCTTAGAGAAGATGATGTTGTGAACAGATGAAAGTATTGCCCTTCCTTCACACTGACTGTCCATACATAGCTTCCTGTTGGGACACATGGAGTCTGATGTTATTTAGGCAGTATACCATAAATACCATCTTTGAAGCATAACTTTAATCTACTTTGAACACTCAAACTTTTATAGAATATGCTTTAAAACATATTACTTCTATGGACTTACCATAAAGGTAAAGGTAGAGAGTGTTGGACCTTCTTACTCCCTCATTTCCAAATAATAATAATAATAATAATAATAATAATAATAATAATAATAAACCTTTAAATACAAAATTGACATCAGGATAAAGGTTAAGAGAAGAAGAAGGAAGAAGGTAATAACAATAACTTAAATTAGAAGGAAAGAGGAAAGAAATGGAGAGGAAAGAAAAACGCAAATAAAAACAGGATGTTGAAAAGAGTTCATAAGAGAAATAAAACAACAAAATATTGGCTTGTTCTCTTCAATGTTATACATAGGCTAGGAAAGGTCATCTATATAGATGAGATCCATCAATAGATTATAAAATATCAATAAAAATAAAAAAAATCTATTTCAAGCTGAAGTGCTTGAGTTGAGTGAATCAAAATGATTATTCTAGAAAAGGTTGGGACTTAATTTCCAGATTGTTCATAGGCTGTGGCTTCCAGGTGGCCAGTGCCAGTGACCTTTGACTGGAACTGGTCTGAATGTGTCCCTTCTTTATTGTGTACTGGCACAACTGTCCCACAATACGGAGCTCTGCACATGACTCTCGCTAGAGATCTTTGTTCTGCCTCTGCTTCTCACACCTGTTGGAATTCCCCAGCTGTCCTTCTTTTGAATAGACTAAGTACTTCATAGCTCTACCAGCTGTTCATACTACCATAACCTGAAGTGGCATCTCTCTCTCTCTCTCTTTTTAATTTACTTTTTACATTCCAATTACCACGCCCCACTCCTCCCATCCGCTCCTCAGAGAGGGTGAGGCCTCCCCTAGGAAGTCTACTAAGTGTGTCCCATCATCTCCTTGAGGCAGGACCAAGGCACCTCTCCACCCCCACGCCCTTGTGTCTAGGCTGGACAAGGCATCTCTCCATACAGAATGGGCTCCACTAAGTCAGCGTGTGTATTAGTGTTAGATCTTGGGTTCACTCCCAGTGACCTCATGTATTGTTCCAGTCACAACATTGTCACCTATATTAGGAGAGTTTAGTTCAGTCTCATGCAGGTTCCCCATTTGTCAGACCTGTCTCTGTGATCTCTCACTAGCTCCTGTCAGCTGATTCTGTGGCTTTCCCCATCATGGTCTTGACTCCTTTGTTCATATCATCGCTCCTCCCTCATTTCGATTGTACTCCAGGAGGTTGGCCCATTGGTTAGTTGTGGATTTCTGCATCTGCTTCCAGCTGTTTTGGGAAGAGGGTTCTAGCTTCTCTGGGCTTGTGGACTGTGTAGGCTGGGTATCTTTTGCTTCATGTCTGGTATCTTCTTAGTTTTTTTTTTTTTAAATGGTAGGTATGGTGCCATATGTCTGTAGTCTCAGAACTAGGAAAGCAAAGACTGATGGATCTCAGCTCTCAGGGCTAAATTGAGAAATTTCAGGCCCATGAAACACCCCATAATATAAAACAAGGTGGCCAGAGCCTGAGGACTAACACTTTCTTGTCACCTTAAAAACACAGAAGTAACCCCTGATCCGGTGTACATGTACACTCACACACAAAAATAAACAAAACATAAATGCCAGTGCTAGTCCTACATCCGAGCTCAAGACTTACAAAGGGGTTTCTTAGCCTTCCCCACTCTAGGAAAAACCAGGAAGTAAAGTTTGGGGGAGATGAACAAGCACCTTGCCCAGGCTGTGGTAAGAGTTACTAGTTACATGGCTGACTTCAAAGGATTACTTTTCTCCCCCTTGTCACAGGTCTTGCAGAGATTATTATCATTTTTTTTTTTTTTTGCTTTGATCATGAAAACTTGATGAATGCTGTGAGAAAAAAATTCCCAATGGTAATGTTGGGTGGGTCTCCATAGAAATAAAGACTGTAGGAGTGTCTTCCTCTTACCAAGGATCAACACTTAATCTTCAGACATTTTCCGCATCGTATAGGTGTAGAGGAGGAAGCTATGCACTTGGTTCTTCTGTAAACACCAGAAAAGAATTTTCCCTGTTGCTTCCATTCTCTCCTTAGTCTAAAAAGAATTTGTTAAAGTACTTTCAGATTTTCTTTTTTTCTCGTTGGAAAGAGAGTAAGAAAGCTCTAGACTCTTTGTGTCTGCACTGTTATGGTAAGTTCAATTTTTTACCATATCCAACAAAACTTGCCATTCATATAGAGTGCAGTTTTTAATGTTAGACTACAAAGATGAATCTTGAACTGCTGAGAACATCAGCCATTAGCCTGCACCTGGAGCTCTGACTGTGAGGGATGGTAATGCCTTCATATGGTCACAGTACAACCCTCCATGAGCATGGCCTACATTCGTAGTTACAGTGCAGTGGTAAATGTGCACCATTAGGCACTGTCTGTATAGATAGAACTAAGAATTGTCAGATGTCTCCTCTGCCATTCTGAAAGCCTTCCTCTTATTTGTCATTTGCTTGAATATTTTGATTCCCATTTTCACGTCTTTGCAGAGTTTGTGTCTGCTTCTTGGTTTTAGTTATTCTTTTTTTTTTTTTTTTTTTTTTTTTTTGGTGATAGATATAAAAAGGTCATGGAGTTGTGAAGTTGGTAGGAAGGTGAGGATGATCTGGGAAGCGTTTGGGGAGGAGATCAGAATATATTATATACTACATGCAAAATAATTTCAATAGAAAATTGTGCACAGGACCAGTGAGGTGGCTTGGTAGGCTAAAGTTTTATTTCTCAAGCTTGATGTCTTGAGTTGGTTTGCCCTCATTACCAGGGAAATCAATAAAAACAGCTGGGCACAGTGGCTGCCACTGGTAAACTCAGTACTCCTATGGAGAGATGGGAAGTAGAAGAGTTTGGACAACTGTCCTGACCCTTGTGAGTTTATTATGTGGCAAAAATAAGAGAAACCCTGTCTCAACAGAAAGAAGGCAGGAGTGAATCCCCAAAATTACCCTCTGATCTCCATGGGAACACTGTGATATCCACACACCCATACATGCATACATAACATAGACAGTGATAATAAATAATATTTTAATGGAACACAAAGACTCAAAGTGTGACTAAAGTTTTATTATTGTTCTCTGAGACTCCAGGACACAAGCTACACAGAAATGACCAAGGCAAGATCTGAAAAGAGCCAGTGAGGTGTCTGATGTGGACTGAGGATAGGAATGCTCTTCCTGGGTGAGTCTTCACATTCCATCCCATGTCCATGATGAGCTTCAGGACAAATTCATGCTGTTTGATTTTGGAGAAGCCTAACCACTGAATTTGCAGACATAGGGAAACTTCACATCACAGGTATTATCCCTCCATTTCAGAAATCCTGGAAAAAGAAGGGGGTGAAGTAATTGAGGAGTGTGGATCTTGAGAACTTAATGAAGAAATGCCTCAACCTGTGGCTTCAACTTAAAAGCCACTCCCTCATGCTCACCAGTGGAACAACCCAGAGAAAGGAGCTATCCAAGAAGCCAATGAAGAAGATGAGAAAACAAGACCACTTTCCACTTCCTAGCTCAGAGGTACCCAGGATGTGAGAAGCTGGATGTGCCTCTAGGGGAGGAGGTTCTTCCCTCTCTTACCTGAAGCTCTTGACAAGCTGCCACAGAAACCACGGTCTAAGGCAGTGGATGGATTTCTCTCCCAGTTAAAGTAGTTCATCACATCACCATTATTCCACTCCCATCCACCTCCATTGGGTTGTTCACCCTGACAAGAAAAGAACAAGATAATAGGCGGGGTCCTCAAAGCTGTGCTTGTGGGAAACCTTCAGTGGCACACTGAATCCTCCCAATCTCCCAGAACTCAGTTGGTCATACACAATAGACAAGAGCATAGGAATGCAAGTTACTTTTGTCTCCATTTCTAGATATAAACCTAGAAACTACTGATGAAATTAGGACCACTGAAATTTACTTGAAATATAAATGGTGGTAAATTAACCAATTCCTCTAAAATGGAAGTAGAATGTTTATATATTATTTATTATTGAGACTCCCTGAAATTGACAGTGAATTCTTCCAATGCCTCATGTGAAACCATCAGAAAGTCTAGAACAGATAAACGCTCTTCATCTAACCTCTACGAATCCTCACAGAGCTCAGTTCTACTACTGATCTTGAAGGTTTCCCTTGTCTCAATGTCTGACCTCTGTGTTCTTTAGGATTCTTTCCGGGGATGCTCAGCATGTACCTATGTGATAATAGCAGGTGAGGGGAAACAGAGAAGAAGGAATTGTACCAGGGTAGGATCATGGAGCCCAGTCCAGATGTATGGGTAGCTGTTGCCTGTGCTCTTCACCATGGAGGACAGGAATGAAGCCTCAGCTCCGCTGAGCACAGACACGAGGTGTCCTGAGGGCCTCTTCTGGCAGGCCAGCTGTGTAAGGGGCAGAATGAAAAGAAGATTTAAACTTCACTGGATAATGGCCAGGCAGAGGTAATCGAGAAGCTACACTGAAGCCAGGTATTTATCTCAGACACAATGAACAAGAGATAATGGAACCCAACATTTCCCTATGACCCACATGTACTTTCTAACTCTTAACACTCACTTCTGCATCAAACCAGGTCTGTGGTATCCGAAACAAGGCATAGCAGTAGGAGCCATAAGCCATGGAGCCTTTGGGACAACTTATACGTGCTGAGGGTGCATCCTTCGGGGAGTCTTCACCTGGGTGGAGTAAGATAAATAGAAAAAACAGGGTGGAATGAAAAATGAGATGTAAATCGGTTGGTCAAAACAGGGATTATTTTAGTAGACTATTTCTTGGAAGGAAGTCAATATCAAGCCTTCTTATAGTCTTTGAGACTTTTTAAATTATTATTACTAATGAATAAACAGCCTTGTTTTTCCTCTTCCTACCTATAAGTTCATGGCTCTACCAACTCTGGGCTGATAGGCTTAACCTCAGTTGTCCATCATTCTTCTACCATAGACTTCATTGTTATTCTCCCCCTTGTTTTGTCTTAACAACATAAATTATAGCATCCTAACAAAATGATAAATCTTGTCATTCCACTGGTGGCAGGTCACCATGGTATGTTCCACAACCAATGACATTGAGGAATGCAGGATGTTGGAGCTATTGCAGCAGATTCCCTGTACATACATTCTTCATAATTCCTCATGGGACTTTCCTCTGTTCCATGACTCTAAACACCCACAGGAACTCAGTGCCACGGGCAGAGGAGTCTTACCTTGCACTGGGGACAAGAGCGTCAGGCATGAGAGCAGCATCCAGCACATGCTGGCCAGTGTTATGTGAGACAGCATCTTGCCTGTTAGAGAAGAACAATCAGAGTCACTCCTGGTAGGGTAGATAGAGAGGACATACAGAAAGGACCATCACTCTCTTTATTTTACTAGTTCTGTAGGGAAACACTGATTTTGTTCTATCTTTCCCCTGTGGTCCATAAATCCATGTTTCCTTCTTCCTCTGAGAGCTCCATAGGTAGCCTTGATGCTGTAGCAAAGCTCTGTGTTACATGAGAGCAAGAATCCTCGAAAACCTTCTCCTAGTGAGAGATGGACCCCAGCAAGGCTCTTGACATCTTTCAGCTCCCACTTACCAGTCTTGCAGAGATCTGGAGTGGTTTGCCAGTGCAATGATGGCTGTGCTTTTATAACAGGATCTGAGGGAGGGGCATCAAAGGGAATGACTGGAATTCTTATGCTGGGTAGGATTGCGGGTAGTGCTTGGTATAAACTAGAGGAGGTTCCCAGAAGGAGCAGGAGGTTCTTCCTGGCAAGGATACAGAATTTTCACAAATACAGCCTGCTTCCAGTTAGAAGCCATGCTTTACCCTCAGATGTGAGTGAAGTTTAACCTTCCACACCCTCCTCTAGATATTCCGTGCCAGGAAACATGAGTGAACAGTACTCACTCACCTTCTGGCCTTGAGAGATTCCATGGAGAAGTCAGGTGTAATTCTGATAGGTCTGCCTTTATATGTTACCTGGCCTTTTTCCTTCACTGCTTTTAATGTTCTTTCTTTATTCTTCTGTATGTTACGTGTTTTGATTATTATGTGGCGAGTGGTCTTTTTTCTTTCATCCAGTCTATTTGGTGTTTGGTATGCTTCTTGAACTTTCATAGGCATGTCCTTCTTTAGATTTGGAAAGTTTTCTTTAATGATTTTGTTTAATATGTTTTCTGTACCTTTGAGCTGGGCTTCTTTGCCTTCTTCTATGCCCATTATTCTTAGGTTTGGTCTTTTCATGGTGTCCCACATTTCCTGGATGTTTTGTGTTAAGGATGGGTTAGATCTTTGGTAGATAAATCTATTTCCTCTAGTTTATCTTCAGTGCTTGAGATTCTCTCTTCAATCTCTTGTATTCTGTTGCTTATTCTTGCATCTGTAGTTTCTGATCGTTTGCCCAGTTTTTCTATTTCCAGCATTCCCTCAGTTTGTGTTGTCTTTATTGTCTCTATTTCAGTTTTCAAGTATTGAACTGTTTGAATTGTTTCCTTCATCTGTTTGGTTGTGTTTTCTTGGCTTTTCTTACTTTCTTTAAGAGAATTGTTCATTTCTTCCAATTTTTTTCTTTGTTTGTTTGTTTTCCATTTCTTCAAGGGATTTCCTCATATCAGTCAGGCAGGGACTCAGGGTTGTCCTCCAGGAGAGGCCTGGCGATGGGGGTCAAAAAATCAGGCAGACAGATGGGGACTCAGGGTGGGCCCGCATGGATAGATGGGTCCAGTGTGCTCAGAGAAGATCCAGAAAGTTCCCCAGAGGTGGAGGGGTTGTTGGACCTCCACCCTAGCCCAGTGCTCAACCAGAGCAGTGGAGCAGTGGGCCCTGTGTGGGGAGGGCAGGCTAAATTACGAGTTTCTAATGATGGTCTCCTATGCTACTTCCCATTGTTAGTGAGCTGGTGGAAGACAGGATGATGGCAAAGTTTTGGACAGTTTTCTTGTGTGTAACACTGCTTATCATCACTACATGAGAATCTCAAGAACCTTGCCTTACTTCTTGGCTCTGAACCTTCTCAAGGTTCCTACTGATGGCAACAGAGAAAGCTGGCCTTGACCCTGAAATAGGTGTATTAATTGGAGAAGCAGTATTGAGAACACGTTGGGGATGGGATGGCGTATCATGCCTGTGAGGAGACAATCAGTTTCTAAAAGGAATGCGATTATAAAGAAGACATCCAAACACACAGCTGCCTACATGAGCTTTCTGGTGCTTTTACCTTTCTTTATCTCCTACTAACCTGACTGTCAACTATCCTCTAAACTAGTTTGTGGGGCCAGAAAATAGAGATTTCTTAAGAGTACCTGAAGAAAGGGCACTTAAGTGAATGACGGGAATGCATCTGATAAGGTCATGGGTAGGGTTTGTCATTGCTTCAGGAAATTTTCCACTACCATTGGGTTAGTTAAGAATATTTCCTCTTTCCAATTAGTGTGTCAGCTTTTTCTTCAAGTTCTGTGAGGAATTTTTTCCTTAGTTCCTTCTTCACTGTCTGTGATATCAAGTCTTAGATGGTCAAAGTTCATGTCAAAATAAATTGCTTCTAGAATCACCAAAAAACTTACATTTCATCTAGCTAATATGATTATTAAATTCTAATGAGTCCTAAGAGTAGCTGGGCAAATTAATGAGAAGTAGCACCAACATTTATAGTTATATAAGAAACAGGTTTAGAGCAGGCATGAGTGAGTGCTGTCTCTGAGGTGGGAAAAGAGGCAACCAGGAACCCTGATACTTAATGCACCTACAGTGAAATGATACAGACATAGGGACTCATGAATAGAGGCTAAAAGAAAGGACAGAACAAGCATTGTATGAAATTTACACAATATGTCATCACTTATAAAGCACACCTCGACTTCAGCAAGATGTAGAGCTCTTAGGCTACTCTTGAGCTTCCTTGGAAGATGGCCACTGTCTAGGATTAAAACTATTGCAAGCTCATTTTCATTGGGAAAATAGCCAGTTGCAAGTAGATGTGCTTAAAGAGGGGTCAGTTGTTGGATCTGTTTTTTGTTAAGGCTGGGAATTTCTTCAGAATTTGACCCTGGCACTGCATAGTTTGTGAACAGATGTAGGAACCTATAATAAAATTATGAAAGTAAGTTCATAATTTATAAAATCAAGTCTTAAAACTCCATGGAACCGCTTCATGTAATCTAATCACAATTATGGACATCATAATTATTTCCTAAAATAAAGCTTTTAATATAAGGTGCATAAGGGACTATACAAGTAATAACCTAGTCCTGCTATGAGCTTAGGTGGGCAAAGCCATCCGGTGGAGACTTTGTAGACAAATTTTCAGTGGGCTTTATGACCTGAGGTACTTCTCTGCGATCCGCATGGTAGAGGGACATAACTGACCACAGCAAGCTCCAACACACACACGTCTCCATCTCTACTATACTATATATGTATATGTATATATTATATATATATGCACATATATTTGTATACATATTTAAGTAAAAATTTCTTGTGTTATTGATGTTTATGGCTAAAAAGCTATCTCATGGTTATTTTAAAATATCTTTATACTTATGATATTTTGGGTAAAATAGTATATGTTTAGCTTTCAATTAATTCAAGAAAAATTAGAGTTAAGCTGAAAAGAGAGAATCAAAACAAATATTTTATATTTTAAAACTTAATAACCTAAAAATAATAGATAGGAGTGAGCATCTATATTTGTTCTTTACTATGTGTTTAAATTTTTCTTAAAGAATATTCTAATTTAATATACAAGCCCCTATTCAATAATAACACATGTCACTTTCCTATCTTTATGATAAAAAATACCATAACAGAATGATATTTATTATGTAGAATCATATATTCATATAGATGTATCGAAAGAAAACGTTATAAATGTAAATAAAAGAGTATGTACAGTTCACTCTCCTCCTGACAGTGATAGTATCATCCTTCTGTGAGAACTCTTTAAACTTGGTCATATGTAATCTCAAAAAAGAAAAAAATACAAGGAATAATTTAAGAAAAGCTCAGTTATGTTTTGTTTATAATTGAAATAATGTAAGATCCCTAATAAACCTTTGGGATGTGACATCTAGAACTGCAGTGTTAACACCTTTGCTTCACTTGTTCAGTTTCTGTGCTTACTAAGTTGGCCTTGGGATATTTACAGTTCATTTCTTGGCAAGAAAGGAATTCTTATTCTTGAAATGACCCAAGATAGATTCTAATGTTCTTTTTGTCAAAAGATAAGTGATTCACTTTATACATTTTGTTTATCTTCTCTCCCATGTCAAATAATGCTTCATGTAATTATATTTAGAATACTCGTGGGAAATGACCCCTTTACAAGAGCCCAGTACCCTTGTTCTAAGCATGGCACATGTGGAGAGTTACTGGAAGATGTTGTGTCAGGTTCCACGTCAAAAATATCCTTGGGTTGATACTTACTGAATATAGGCCAATAAAACATGTTGCCTTAAGATACAGTAATCATATGTCTGGGTGCTACTTTAGCCCTTTTATCTTATTTTATGGTGATCAGAAAAAATGACAGAGATAAAGTAAGGCTATATGATCCTTGTAAAATGAGGGAGAATGACAGACTACCAATAAGCAAATGTATTAAAGGAACTGGAAAGCTGATGTTGATTGCTGGAATTGAGGTGGTCATATGCAATCATTGAACTGTGCCTATCACATGAACTGTGCCATTATGGGGGCCAATAAACTTTTATCAGAGAACTTTGTCAATTCTTCTGATTTCCAAATCACACATTGAGCTTGGGGAAGTTCCATGTTGTAAACTATGTTAACAGTAATGGTAGGAAAAAATATTCCAATTCCAATTACATATTTTAAAAGACTTTGCTCATTGTTAGTTTTTATTTCAGAGAAAACTAGACATAATAGCAGTAAAATCAAAAGTTATTTTTCAGCCTCATTGCCCTCATGTTTACTCCAACAGTTTGCTCATGTCAGCCTAACATGATTTCATGCATCTTTTGGTAGGAGATAAAAACAATGAAAATATGTACTTCTTTGACCATGGTACTCTTATTTTTGTTATGAATTATTCTATGATGCGAAATCTTTAGTTACAAGTGATCACATATTGTCATCTTTCTTAGTATCTGCTCCTTCCACCACACCTCTTGGTGCTGGGGATTGAACAGGGGACTCACACATGCTAGACAAGCACATAAATTCTTAGATAAACACCCAGCCTTCTTTGTGCTATTTACCTTTGAGTCAGAGTTTTAAAGTCCTCAGACTACCTAAAATTTGTGATGCTCCTGCCTCATGATCATGAGTAAAAGAAGTTAAAACCTGTGTCACTAGGCCCAGCATTTATCTTCAATTTTTTCAAGAGAAATAAAAGAGAAATCTAAAGAAATTAGAAATAACACAATAGAAGTCCATCATTTTTATTGAAATAAAACTTTTCATATGCTATATTTTGATTATGGTTTTGTCTGATCCAATGACTTCAAGATAGATTCTTCTTTCTCTGTTTCCATCCATATCTACAACTTTTCCATTTCTCTTCAGAAAATTGGCATCTAATTATAATAATAAAATTTCCGAAAATAAAAGTAAACCAACGGGAGCAGGACAAAACAAACAAAAAGAAGCAAAATAGCCAAAGAAAAAAACACAAGAAACATATAGATTATGAAGCCACACACACATTTGTACCTACAAGAGTCCCACAAAAGTGAAAGACATAACATATGTTCAATTGACCTGTAAGGCTAAGACAAACATGTAAGCCTTGACAAAGCATTAGTAGACAAAGAACCTGGAAAGATGTCATTGAGTTTGCTTTGTATTGGCCATCTACTGCAGGGTGTGGGGCCTGATCTTAAGAGTGGTTTGAATCTCAAAGTGAAACTCCATGGGAAGAAACTAACTTCTAATTTTTTCCTTTGTAAATGGTTACTAACTGGAGTTACCTTCTG